TTGTAAGGCTGGATGGGCTGGAACAGACTGTACGCAGGGTAAGTGGATAGTGCACCCAATTTCCGACAAAGTAGTAGCACACGTAATTAATTACGACCGGCCGAACAAATTTAGTGAACTATCCCAACGCTGATGGTGAACAAAACAATAAAAATCAAACATGAACATGTCTTTTAAATAAATTTAAAACTATTTCGCGATACGTTCGTGAAAGTGCCGTGAAAGTATCGCGAAAGTGACTCGAAAATGGCGCGATAATACCGCGAAAGTGGCTAGAAAATGGCGCGTAAATGGCGTGAAGTTTCGCGTTAGTGGCGCAAAAGTGCCGCGATAGTGCCGTGAAAGTGGCGCGATGGTGCCGTGAAAGTGGCGCGATAGTGCCGTGAAAGTGGCGCGATAGTACCGCGATAGTGCCGCAAAAGGGGGTAATAGTGCCGCAAAAGTGGCGCCATATTGGTACACTACATGTACACTTCAGAAATGCTGTCGCGTGTTACTTCCCCATGCATATCGGATGCGTAGATACATGTACATGTATGTTCGATCAGACCTGGAGCTGTATTAAGCGTGTTCCTCTTGTTATATTTAGAGAGGTGTAGGTGGTTACGTCCACTAACAGTACACTGCTTTACATGGATGTTCTTAAAAAGTGTATTTTTCGTGTATGAGAACGTAATTCCCAATGGTGCCTGAATACACTGTTTTTTTCTAAATTCACCCAGATTTTGGTTCTCGGTTCATCTGATTCATACAACTAAGGATTTACGTTCTGAAATGCTGAATGTTAACATCGGCCATCACAGTCTCTGTTTCATTTAGCATTCAAGATTCAGGATAAACCACATTTCGGTTTGACGTGCCTATGAAGCTTATACTTCTGATATTGGGGTCTTTAAGTTTCCTTAAAACGAAGTAAAAATCAGATGATACACGGATGATACATACATATGCAAGGAAGAGAATTTATGGATGACAACTTCTTTAATATTAGGAACACATTGTTTCGGAGTAATATTTACTGCTTCCTCGAGTGAAGGAATAAGTATACACCCCAAAACGCTGTGTTCCCGATAATATAGATGTTTTCCTTATGTGTTTCACTTCTAAATGCTTTTCAAAGACATCATACATACATGGTTTTAAAATGATGGGTCAAATACTGCGTTGTTTATCTGTTCCACATAGTGGTAAGTTGTAAATGAGTTTCTGTTCGTTAATCACTTGGTTTGTGCAAAGGATGATGCATGTACATGTATACAAATGTCGAGTGTTTGCAATCAGAGCTAGGTAACTGTAGTTGTGATTTGATGAATTCTTTATTCTCTAGACATTCGAGAGTAGATCGGACCGAAGCATTAATCACAATGAACAATATACTCAGAATATCTACTCCAATAAAAAAGCAACCCACGGTTTATTGTGTAACTTATAGCGAGACAACTCGGATAATTAATTACATTGTCTACTCACAATGCTAAGCAGGTGCACGAAATAACAGGAACACTTATATAACATCACAAACGAGGATGATGAAACCCATCTTCCAGCAAATTGTATTCATAATGCCTATCAAAGAGACGCTTGTATATTGGAGTAGGGTAGATTCAGCTGTGCACAGAATTGAATCACAGCGTTAACCAATGGCATTTAAGACGTCCTTACACTTAAGAACACATGTAATGCTCATTAGGAGAGAAGCACAACAGATATGAACGATATCGACAGGTTTGTGCGAGGATCAAGGATTCCCAGCTATTTGCGACACAAGATAATACTTCTTCGTCAGCAACATCTCACATATCCTGTGATACAAGCGAGATTGCTACAAGAAGATATGTGGAAAGTCTCAATAAAATCACTTCAGATGACCTCCAGAAGATACAAGGAAACCGGTCGTGTTAGTGACAGGGCAAGGAGCGGCAGACCACGCATCTTGACGGATTCTGACATCAGCTACATAGACGGCGTTATGCACTCAGATGACGAAACGTCCTCTCCTGAGTTACAACGTCTGCTTGAAGGTAAAAAAGAGTAAATCTGTTTCAACGGTTACAATTTGTCGTGAACGGAACAGACTCGGCTGGGTTCAGAAACAGACTCATTCGCCAACCGAACCGCGTGAAACGAAAACACTTTTGTGAGCAGGTCATGATGTCAAATGATACATTTGATGATTTCATATTCACGGATGAGTGCACAGTGAAGCTAGAGTCAACGCTAAAGAAATGTTTTCGGAAGAAAGGGAGTCCACCAAAATTTAAAAGCCGCCCAAAACATCCATATCAAGTACATGTTTGGGCAGGGATTTCAAGACGTGGCGCAACAGATATTTGTCTCTTCACGGTGACTATGGACAGCGAGGCTTATCAAGACATTCTAAAGGAGTTCTTAGTGCCTTTCATTCAGGACAAATACCCAGATGGTCATAGACTAATGCAGGACAACGATCCCAAGCATACCAGTAGGAGTACAACACAGTGGCTATCTTCAAACGGGATCCACCACTGGCCAACGCCTCCACAATCTCCAGATCTCAACCAAATCGAGAAAGCTTGGGCTTCGTTGAAATGGCATATTAGACGTCGGGTGAAACCGCGAACAAAGGATGAACTTATAAATGGCATTAAGTATTCTGGGCAACGATGGATCCAGGAGCATGCTGCAGACTTATCCGTAGTCTCGACACAGTTCTACCAAGGGTGTTAGAAGTAGATGGCGCTGCGTCTGGGTTTTGAACGCACTTTTGTATTTCTTATTTTTCAAAGTGCCAGCTGTAAAAATGCGTTAGGAATTAAAAATGAATGCAATTACGAATACGTCTAAACAAATATGATACCAAATAACCAATAGAAGTATTGGTTGCTATTAAATGTTGATCACAATAATGAATATCTTCTGTCTTTATTGTGCCAAGACTAAAGTCTATTCTTTTTACACAAAATACTTTGGACCGTATAATAACACATTACAATGGACGCTAGTTCATGTATATGAGGCGCAGTGTAGCAATTAAACGGGTTTTTTTATTCCATGGAAAAGAATTCCAGTTATCAGGGGTCAAATATATTAATGTAGTTTCTGTTATTAGGATATGGAAATAAAAATAACAAGTTTAACAGACGGACAAGCATTATATTTTCGTGTATCATGCTCAAAATAAGAGCTATACATAAAAAATAGTATAGCGACACGCATGTGCCGATACAAAACTTAAGGATACAAAATACTTTAATATACAAAAAGGTCAGTTTTTATGTGCACATTAGCCACTAGGGGTCGACCAATAAGCGATAATGACGTTTTCGGCTGTTAATGAAAGTTCATTTTCTTATGGACTGTGCTCACTACCGGGCGTTGTTTTGAGACGATCATGGTTGATGTTTGCACACGATTCCGCCAAAGGACACTATTACATGAAGTGACGAATAAAACTGATTTCAAGGGATTAATTTTAACAAGAATTCTATGTACACGGGAATACTGGGAATAACTGACTTACCTAAATACACTTGTATTGACATGTTACTTGAAAGCATTGATGGGTTTGCATTTGAGAGTAACTAAATATATTTAGCATGGAAAATAGCACAGTCAAAATCCCGCCATCCTTTACAGTGGCCGCCCGGTATATTCAAAGGCAATTGCATATATCTCTACAGAGGTGGAAATGGACATTGAAAACCAACGTGACGCTACTAATTGAACAATATTGAAAGTTGTTTTCGACTAGACAGGGTTAAAGATAAAGTTAAAGTTGTGAATTATTAACAGCAGATACATAGGATAAGTAACATTACATTTCATTTATATCATTGTTGGAATTTCAATTCCTTTCATTCGCCGACCCCACACGTATCTGTTTACTTGATTGATGGCGTCTACACATTCTTGTTTTTCCTTTGCTTTGTCCTTGGGTGGGAAGGTATTGAATACGACATCAAATATCATGGCCATCTTTGCGATGTCAAATGGCTGGACAGTGACGATCTGGCCTGACTTTATCATCCCGTACACATTTCTTTTATACGTTTCTCGCAGGGTGAAAACAGTTTTATAAAGTTCTTTTGCCAGCTGCTTACGGCTCCGTCCACCTCGCTGCCTTGCTTCTTCTACTACGCCCTGTTGAGTATTCCGTGAGTCCAGGGAGGTTTTAATGTTGATATCGCATATTTTGCATGGCAAATCTGCTACCCGCAGATACCAACATCTGCTTTCTGTGATGATGTTAGAGTGCGTTGATGTTATGGACGTGGCGGACGGCAATAGAGTGAATGTCGTTGAGAGGGGAGATGATGACAGTGGTGGTGACGACAATGCATTGTTAAACGGAGACAGGGCAGGTAATGAAAGGACTGATATTGGTTGAGGCGGTGTGGTGTCAGAAACCATCGACTCTACCAACAGTCGCAATTCCTGGATTTCCTTTTTTGAAGCTGGCGACTTCAAGTTTCAGTGTGACGATATCTGCGTCACTGGAAGGGTCAGACAGTCCTGTTGTTGAGGTAGATGCATGGCGTGGTGATCGTGATGTGCACAGGGTCGTTTCAGGCGATGCAAGTGGGGAAGTTGGAGGAGACGATGCATTCGTTGACTGGCCTGATGCCGGTCCTCTTCCAAGAATCAGGAACTATAACGATGTGAAGAAGATTTTGTTAGGTCATAAAACATACATGCACGGGCAACTCAGGTTATAACTTAGCTACCAACTTGCTCATACTGTCTCAGAAGTCTGGTTAATAAGACGAGATAAATTCTTTACTAAAATGATTAGTCATGACAGTAATGAGAAGGAAACCTAAATTCACCTTCTTCGCAGGATTTGTCCATTTCTTGGTTCGCTCTTGCTCTTGCTGCATATCCTATGAGATACAAAATTAATATATATTACGAAATGTTTTAGGACATCATTTGCAGAGAAACGAAAAGAGAAAGTGAAAATTTATATATAACAGTTACTAAATATAATCCACACAACCATGCAGTAATGTAAACGCTACAAACCTCTCGTTTCCTCTTTCTTATACTGGTCGTGCGAGTACCCTGAAATTAAAATGAATCGGAATAAAATGCAAAGCTTATCAATTGTGAAAACACATCGTATGTTAAGTTCGTCAATCAATAAGTTATTGCCATTTTTTCACAGCTGTATATAATTCACTGTGTAAGTTATCATGTGTTTCATGGGTCATGCCTGTTCAGGTGTAAACACATCTACTAGTATTCTATCATCAGAGCTTCATTGTACCTCCAGATTATTTCATTTATAACAGTTTTCCGTGAGTGACATATTTTCTTATTTTAATTGACATCCTCCCTTTGTATCTCTAAATTAAACAAATGTACGTCTAACGTGTACATTTTCAGTTATTCAGTCATTACTGTCATTACTATGTAATATTTACCATTGTAGAAGGGACAACAACCTCTGGCGGAGACTTGGGGGGAAGTGTCCATGTTGGATCACGGCCTGTATCACTTTCATTCCCGCTCTCACTGAGGTACAGTTGAAAGCTTTCAACCTGAATGAAAGATTAATCATTAGTCAATGGAGATAGAACAGTATTATATTAGGTGAAGTTCTTGTCATCGAAAGGTATTAAAAACTAATATAGAACTGTAGGGTGTACGCCACGGCGTGTATAGTTACCTCTGAACCTGTCTCTTCTGGTGTACACGAAGCTGTGTGTCTGGATTGCTGGTAACCCTGGAAAACAATGTCAACTGTACATAAGCATATACGAAGCCAAGGCTACAAATGTGTGTATTGTAGTTTACACAATACTATTTGCAAACAAATTGATATTTCAGTATAGAATTTGATATAAATATTTTTTTACAAAAAGTTACATTCGTGCTTCTCGACTACCTACAAATTTAGAAAGTGGTCACATGTAACAAATGTTATATTTGGGAAACAACTCTCTTAGTACAGGTTATCCTACTTTTTGGACAGGTATTTTATATATTATGATGGTATTACAGGAACTGGCGTTGTACTAGGAATACAATGATAATCTTGAAATTAAGACCAACCAGACAGAATTGCACAAGATTAACGAGAACCATCCTGCATCTATATATGTAGAAGGCTACTCTTGTTTTAATAACGATTTGGTACACTTGGACATTGTTTGCACTTACTGTTAAGACAATGTCCTCGTACGCTTGTTTGACGTGATGATCATTCCTGATGAACATCTCACCTGGGATGCTCACATCCAAAACCTAACAACTAAATGCAGTAAAGACCTAAACACCCTAAGATGCCTAACTGGCTCTAACTGGGGAGCATCCAAAGATACCCTCCTCTCTCTCTACATATCACTAATTAGATCAAAACTAGACTACGGCTGCGCCATATACAACACCCTAAACAACTCTCTATCTAAAAATCCTTGACTCAATACAATATCAGGCTCTCAAACTAATTACACGCACCCAACATGGCACCTCCTACACCTCACTTCAGGCCTTAACAGGAGAAATGCCACTAAGTCTACGCAGGGAACTGCTAAGCTTAAACTTCTGGGCCGCGTCCCAATCAAACCCTCTCTTCCAAAACTTAATAAACCAAAACATCAGCCCCAAAAACCAAGCTCTAGCTCGTAAACACCCCTTACTTACCCCAATATCCCAAAGAATAACTAACTACCTAAATGGACACCAAATTAAAAATCTTAAACAAAACTGCAAACAATCAAATATCTTCACCCCTAAACTTAAAATACCCAAAATAGACACAACACTAGCTAGCCAAATAAATAAACAAACCTACCCAAACATAGCTAAAACTAACACACAAGCATACATACACGAAAATTGGCCAAATTGGTGTCACATTTACACAGACGGATCCTCAGATCCGACCTCCAAACACACAGGTTTCGGAGTCCATACCACACAACCAACTAAAACCACACAATCCTTCCGACTCCCAAACAACCAATCAATATTCACGGCAGAACTAATGGGCATGGCTTCAGCCCTCCATAATCAAGAATCCAAAAAACACAAAAAAATCCTAATACTTACCGACTCCCTAAGTGGACTGCAAGCCCTCCAAAACAAAAATACCAAAAACCGACCTAAATTAATAAATCAAATACTTAAAAGCTCTAACACCTAACTAAGGCAGGCAAACAAATAACCTTCTTGTGGATACCCGCCCACGTAGGAATATACGGTAATGAAAATGCCGATAAAGCAGCTAAACTATCCCTCAAAATCCCAGAAATAAGCTTAAACTTACCCATCTCAAAATCAGAAATTAAAAGTGTAAACAAGCAAAAAAGCACAAAAAAATGGCATAACCTATATCTAAACTCAAATAGCCAAATCAAAAAAGTGCTCAGCAAACCACTAACCAAACCAAAAATTCTCCATCCATCCAAAAAAATCGACAGAGTAATCACTAAACTCCAAACAGGACACACCAACCTAAATAACCACCTAAATTTTTTTTAAAAACACACTACAGGTAACTGCCCACACTGCAAACAACCAGAAACCCCAGAACACGCACTCATCCACTGCACACAATACCTAACACATCGAACCGCATTACAAACCACCCTCAATCTAAACAAGGCTCTAACTCTAGAAGCAATACTAAACCCACAAAATAAACTAGAAAACTTCAAGGCCTTAGGCGTATTCTTAATAAAAACGGAACTAATAAAACGCATCTAAAAACACAATAACCTACCAAATCAAAATCACATAAACAAACAAACATCCACCATACCAAGCTCCCTTAGTTCCCCTCCCCAATCCCATCGACATCTATTCCAAATCTCAAAATTCCCAAATTCTATATAAGCAACCCCTAAAACCCCCCTCTTGGGTTGCACAGACCACTTTCGCCCCTTTCGGAAACACATTAAATGGCCTGGCCGGGCCCGTGTGCGAAATACGCATCAGTCGGAAAGCGCACGTTAAATCTCCAAAGTAAGTAAGTAAGTATGTAACCGATCATGAAGTTTATTGTACTCTCACCTACTGACCAGTCTTAATGCGTTCTGATGCCATTGTAAAATCCCTGGCTGCCTGTCTTTCTTTGATGTTTAGACGGAGAAAATCTATTGTTTTAGAACAATCTCTGTTTACTGATAGAAATGTACATACTATGATATATTTACCATATTTTACATATGTTATTGGATGCACGCAATGAATACATGGTTTAAACATATTTGTATTTCAACTGAAATTTGGGATCGGTAAACAAGACAACGCTTATTTGAATATCTCTTCCAACATAGAAATCTGATCTAGTTATGGTGTATACATAATATTTACAGAAAAAATACCTTGGTCTTCAGTTATCAAGAGTGACCAGTTGTGTCCAGTTTTTATCGTCAGAATGATAGGGTTAAACGTGATATTACCTACTACATAATGTACACAAGATACATACATATTATATGCTAGGGTTTGGTGTATTATTTACGTTTAAATCTTCCAGAATTTATGATGAAAGTATGGACAGACAGGAAAATTTCTTCATTTGCTTTAGATGATAGGCCTCACATCCGTAAAGTACTGTATTAATATTATATCCTTTTATGTAATATAATAAATTGCTTCTAATTTGATTATAATTGCAACAAACAAAGAAGTAAGGTAGCGGGTCTTCATAATTGTGACCACAGGATACATGAAGGCGGATATAATTATAGTGGGGTGTATGGTGAGAGGGGTATGTATGTATGTAAGCATGAGTACGAGGGATACATGAAGGCGGATATAGTTATAGTGGGGTGTATGGTGAGAGGGGTGTGTATGTATGTAAGCATGAGTACGAGGGATACATGAGGGCGGATATAGTTATAGTGGGATGTATGGTGAGAGGGGTGTGTATGTATGTAAGCATGAGTACGAGGGATACATGAGGGCGGATATAGTTATACTGGGATGTATGGTGAGAGGGGTGTGTATGTATGTAAGCATGAGTTCGAGGGATACATGAGGGCGGATATAGTTATAGTGGGGTGTATGGTGAGAGGGGTGTGTATGTATGTAAGCATGAGTACGAGGGATACATGAGGGCGGATATAGTTAAAGTGTGATGTATGGTGAGAGGGATGTGTATGTATGCATGTAAGCATGAGTACGAGGGATACATGAGGGCGGATATAGTTATAATGGGATGTATGGTGAGAGGGGTGTGTATGAATGTAAGCATGAGTACGAGGGATACATGAGGGCGGATATAGTTATACTGGGATGTATGGTGAGAGGGGTGTGTATGTATGTAAGCATGAGTTCGTGGGATACATGAAGGCGGATATAGTTATAGTGGGGTGTATGGTGAGAGGGGTGTGTATGTATGTAAGCATGAGTACGAGGGATACATGAGGGCGGATATAGTTATACTGGGATGTATGGTGAGAGGGATGTGTATGTATGCATGTAAGCATGAGTACGAGGGATACATGAGGGCGGATATAGTTATACTGGGATGTATGGTGAGAGGGGTGTGTATGAATGTAAGCATGAGTACGAGGGATACATGAGGGCGGATATAGTTATACTGGGATGTATGGTGAGAAGGGTGTGTATGAATGTAAGCATGAGTACGAGGGATACATGAGGGCGGATATATTTATACTGGGATGTATGGTGAGAGGGGTGTGTATGAATGTACGCATGAGTACGAGGGATACATGAGGGCGGATATAGTTAAAGTGTGATGTATGGTGAGAGGGATGTGTATGTATGTAAGCATGAGTACGAGGGATACATGAGGGCGGATATAGTTATAGTGGGATGTATGGTGAGAGGGGTGTGTATGAATGTAAGCATGAGTACGAAGGATACATGAGGGCGGATATAGTTAAAGTGTGATGTATGGTGAGAGGGATGTGTATGTTTGTAAGCATGAGTACGAGGGATACATGAGGGCGGATATAGTTATAGTTGGATGTATGGTGAGAAGGGTGTGTATGTATGTAAGCATGAGTACGAGGGATACATGAGGGCGGATATAGTTATAGTGGGATGTATGGTGAGAGGGATGTGTATGTATGTAAGCATGAGTACGAGGGATACATGAGGGCGGATATAGTTATAGTGGGATGTATGGTGAGAGGGGTGTGTATGTATGTAAGCATGAGTACGAGGGATACATGAGGGCGGATATAGTTATAGTGGGATGTATGGTGAAAGGGGTGTGTATGTATGTAAGCATGAGTTCGAGGGATACATGAAGGCGGATATAGTTATAGTGGGATGTATGGTGAGAGGGGTGTGTATGTATGTAAGCATGAGTACGAGGGATACATGAGGGCGGATATAGTTATAGTGGGATGTATGGTGAGAGGGGTGTGTATGTATGTAAGCATGAGTACGAGGGATACATGAGGGCGGATATAGTTATACTGGGATGTATGGTGAGAGGGATGTGTATGTATGTAAGCATGAGTACGAGGGATACATGAGGGCGGATATAGTTATAGTGGGATGTATGGTTAGAGGGGTATGTATGTATGTAAGCATGAGTACGAGGGATACATGAGGGCGGATATAGTTATAGTGGGATGTATGGTGAAAGGGGTGTGTATGTATGTAAGCATGAGTTCGAGGGATACATGAAGGCGGATATAGTTATAGTGGGATGTATGGTGAGAGGGATGTGTATGTATGTAAGCATGAGTACGAGGGATACATGAGGGCGGATATAGTTATAGTGTGATGTATGGTGAGAGGGGTGTGTATGTATGTAAGCATGAGTACGAGGGATACATGAGGGCGGATATAGTTATACTGGGATGTATGGTGAAAGGGATGTGTATGTATGTAAGCATGAGTACGAGGGATACATGAGGGCGGATATAGTTA